AAAAAAAAATCACTTTCCATAAATAATTTGGACTTAATTTTTCAGTAAAACTAAAAAAAGCTTGTCGACACTTTTTGTTCGTTGCAACATTAATTTTAAAGATTCTATTTGGTAATATTGAAAGGTCGAAAATTTGCAGAGTGGTAGTCCAAATCATTGCTGAAAGCCCTGCTGATATCAAAAATTATACTGCACGTATTTTTAAAATCAAAAATTTTTTATTTCATTTCGTTACAGGTAATTCGTATACTTAATAATAGAACCGAAGAGGAAGAGGATGAAGACGAAGCAAACGCCCATTCACTGGGCTGTTTTTACAAAGGCGAAGTGCAAGGCGATAAACAGTCAACGGTGTCCGTGTCACTCTGCAATGGCATGGTAAGTTATTTAATTTCGCAATGAAAAATGAAAAAAAATTTAAGTTTTTTTTACCTACCAATGCAATTAATCAAGTGTAGAATACGGCAGTAGAAATAGTTGGAAATTTTTTTTTGTATTCATCACGCTGCTCACGCGGCTAATGTACATGTATTTGTAGCGGCCCTGTAGAAAATAATACACAGGAACCAGTTTAGGACAGTGATGTGCAAGCTAACTGCTTAGACGGACCAAGGGTTATAAAACACATAATTTTTCCTATTAAAAATTAAGGTATGAAAAAATAAGAATTTGATTTGAGGTTCGTGATCCTAATGAAAAACAAACTTTTTTTCGAAATTTTCATACAATTCAAATATGAGGTTGTTGTTGTTTTTGTAGCATAATTATTCTCAAATAATTTTGGGAAATGTCGTTACGTTTACGTAGATCCGGAACAAAAATATAAATAAAAGTCCATTTGAAAGATGTTTCCGCAACAAGTCGAAATTTTTAGAACTTCGTCCGGAAAGACACTGCAACTACCGGCTAAAAAATATACGCAGCGGTACTGCCTCTCCTCAATAAAAATGATTAAGGTTAAGGTAACTAGTTCACTCCAAAACAGTGGTGGAACGAGTTCTCGTTTATTGCCAATTGCCGAGAACAAGGTCATTCTTTAAAATTTGTGAAAACGAGATATGGATTTCTTTTACTGTATTGCTGCCGTTTGTAAAATTTCATTCTTGTTCGAGCATGATCTTCTTTGCGTGTTATATTCACATGTGATTCATTTTTTTCTTTGGATTACCTTAACCAAAATATTCCCTATAAGGTTGATATTCGTAAATGTGTGCATTTTTTGGTAAGGGCTAAGCTCAGGACCTTACCGGGGTCACACAGGGCGGATCGTGAACGGCCTACTCCGATAGGTTAGCTGCGAATAACCAATAAGCAGTCCCAGACCAAGAGCGGCAGGAGACGAGGGCCTGATTTAAAAGATCAGAAATGCTTGATGAATCTCCTGTGTCCGGGCGAACAGATGCCGCCCCCCAAAAAGCATCCCAGGATTGAGACCAGTTAGATCCTGTTCATGGCATACTGGAGCATGTATACGATTAGTCTGACATTGGGCTGGCGAGAGCAGTATTCCGCCACTTTAGTATGTGAGGGTGACACCTCACAGAAATGGCTGGTGGGCTAATGCTGCGATCGCCTCCGTCTCGTTAAAACCCTGGCAGGTCTTCAAGTACGTTCAATACACGTCGCCATTTAGTTGGCCGCACAGGTCCAGTTGAGATTTACTCCTGGTTTTGCGCTGTCTTGGCTCTGAACACAATATCCCATAAGGACTTGTGTCAACCCTCGCGATGGCCTGCTCCTTTGAGAGAAGGGAACTTCGGGACACTTAAAAGCGACTGTGCTACGTGTGGAGATAGCGGCTTGAAGCGGAGACCCAATTGACTGAAATGATTAAAACAAAACCAATAAACGAAACGAACGTCGATGCTACGGAGGAAGAATGCAGCGCATTCAGGAAGAGCAGTAGAGTCGTGCGCTCCCCGCCACAAACTCCTCTGCAGGCAAATTCCGGCACCACGAGCACGGAGAAAGCCGCCGGCGCGGCGCAGAAGGCTACACCTTGCCAAACGGCAACTCCCGGCAGCCGGGATAGTCGTCTTCAAACGCCGGCTGCTGCAAACAGCGACAAGCATGTCACCGCAAGCTTGGGAACTTGCGAAGGCAATGAAGATGAGCAATTGGCCCAGATTCGGCTTGTCCTGAAGAAGATGCAGAGCGCTGTGTCTAAGCAAAAGAATGTGTCCATGGACATAAAAACAGGTATGGCCCAAATCGAGGAGAGCTTAAATATATTAAGCTACCTCCGAGAGCAGCGCCGGAAGGGGCCTACCCTTTCCGAGCTGCGGAAGGCTGGCCCTGGCTCGCAAAAGAGAGGTCGAACTCGATCCGACTCCCCTACAGGCGAGCCGGAAAAGAAGAAAAATACTACTGCTAATAATAATAATAGTAGTAAAAACATTATTATTAATAATCCTAATAATAATGGCAATAATAACAACAATGCACAGAAAACCGTACCAGACAATCAATGGAAAACGGTTGGAAAAAGTAGAAAGCCCAAGCCAGGGCCAGCGCCAGGTGAACCCTTGGTCAATAAGGGCGAGGCGACCAGCCGCAAAAAAAAGAAGAGGGTGAGAAAAAAGAAGAGTCTCGCCAAATTAATAATTAAGCCAGCTGAAGGCAAAACCTATGCAGAGGTGCTGGGAACGATACGCGGTAAGCTCCAACCCGAGAAGACGGAGACCGTAATTCGATCTGTTCGGAAAACCCGCGAAGGCGGCGTGCTCATCGAAATGGAGCGCTGTGGCAACCACACAGCATTTAAGGAAAATGTGTGCACTGCCATTGGCCAGCTTGGAGACGCCCGTATTCTCACTAGACGTTTACGTCTAGAAGTTCTGGGCATGGACTGCCTAACCACGGCCCCAGAAGTGGAGAACGCTATACGCGGGGAGTTAGGAGACAAGATGAATGGCCAACTTCGCGTCTCTCTCCTCGCTGTAAACTCGCGAGAACAAAGAATGGCCGTGGTGGAAATCGATGAACTGCCAGGCCGGACTCTTATTGAAAAGGGGAAGCTGCGAGTAGGTTGGATTATCTGCCGCGTCCGAGAGCGCGCGGATGTCCAAAGGTGTTTCCGCTGTCTGGGGTATGGCCACAAAAAGGCGGCATGCAAAGGCCCAGACAGAAGCAGTTCATGCTGGAAATGTGGTCAGCAGGGCCACATAGCCTCTGCGTGTAAAGAAAGCCCAAGCTGCTACCTGTGCTCGGCAGGAGATGGACAGAAAAATTCCCATCACCTGCCCGGGTCGGGAGCGTGCAAGGCCTTCAGGGATGCCCTTGCTGAGGCTAAGACAAAGCTTGGGAGAATATGATTAAATTTATACAAGGCAATATGAACAGGAGTAGGGTAGCTGATGACCTGCTGGACCAATTGGTTCTTGAACAAAGAGCAGACGCTGTCATCATCAGTGAACCCTATAGAACAAAAGAAACCTGGCATGTTGACCAATCAGGCTCGGCCGCGATATGGATTGCTAACCCCAACCATCGCGCAGAGAGCAGCGGGGTAGGACGCTGCTACGTCTGGGTTAAAATGGCGCAAATCACTGTGGTGAGCTGCTACCTGTCTCCAAACGACACAGTCCCTGTCTTCAGGGGAAAGCTCGAAGACCTTGAAGACGAATTGCGCGATATAACCGGCCACATAATTGTTGCTGGAGATTTCAACGCAAGAGGCGTGGAATGGGGTATGCCCCAAACAAACACCAGGGGAAGACTGGTCCTTGAAATGGCAGCCCGCATTGGCCTGACCATCCTCAACACCGGAACGACCCCTACATATCGAAGGCCGGGTTTTGGATACTCTATCCCCGACATAACCCTGGTCTCAGAAAGCCTTCTCCGAAGGGCTGACGGATGGAGAGTGATGGAAGACCTGAGTGGTAGCGACCACAACTACATCACCTTCCAAGTCACTGACATCACGCGAGGGCAAACACGTAGTATCCCTCGCAGGAAACCAGGATGGAACCCGTCTAGGGTCGATGTTCGCAAGTTCGATACGTCACTCCTAGCAGATTCCCAAGGCATTTCACCCACAACGGGAGAGATCCACAACAGGGAGTCTTGTACTAAGCTGGTCGAAGAAACTATGCGCTGCATTCACCGGGCATGCAAAGCCTCAATGCCACAGAGGAGAGCATGGTCAGGTAAAAAGCAGGTATACTGGTGGAATGACCGAATTGCTGAGCTGCGAAGGGCCTGCCATAGAATGCGGAGACTCGCAACGCGCGCTCGTGGTAGACCCGAGGCGCTGACCAGAGCAGCAGCCTACAAAAGCGCAAAGAAAGCACTTGGGGCCGAGATACAGAAGAGCAAACGGAACTGCTGGAAAGCGCTATGCGACGAAGTGGATCGCGATCCCTGGGGCCAGGGATACAAAATAGTGATGAAAAAGTTCCATACATCATCACAGGCGATGGATGAGGCCCGAGTTAAGAATATAGTGGATGCGCTATTTCCCACACACCCACTAAGAGCCGACACAGTGTTCGTCGAGGAGCAAGCCGAGGCACCACTGTTTTCGACAGACGAGCTGAAGCTAGCCCTGCGAAGCATGAAAGCCGGCAAGGCTCCAGGCCCAGATGGCATACCAGCGGAGGCAATCAGGTTAGCAGCGGAAACGAGCCCTGATCTTCTGCTT